TGAGGTCCGAACTTTGTCTGTTATTAGTTCCCTTCAAGCCAGGTGATATGTGATCATTTAAAGGTTATGCCATTCAAAAGCTCTTGCTGGATCTTTTTAGAAAAGGGTAACGGGGGAGGGTTAGCTAAGAGGTGGGGAGATGAGTGTAGAGTGTAATGTGCAAACGCAGGACTAGCAGCTGCTTTATGACTATCAATATAGCCAAAAGATAGATGGGGAGGATTAGTGAATATTAAAATTAATGACAGGAGTAGTTTAGTTCAGTTATAATCTAAGAAAAAAGCTGAGGGGCTTAATCTGTATTTTGCTCCAGATCCAATGACTTAATTTTGAGGAGGAACCAATGATTTAATTTTGGTAAGATCCCGTGATTGAACTCTTGCAAGGAGATGGCCTGGGGCCAACCTTGAAAGTCAGGTTGTAATTTCCATAGCATTCAGGACAACCAGAAAAATAAATAGGACTTTTAGAAGAAATCACATTTTCTCCTATTCTCATGTCAGCCCTGGGGTTAGGGGTGGGGTCCTCACACTTCTGGAATTTAGACTTGTGCTATAACTAAAATACATACTGGATTTCAAAGACTTAATAAAAGAATGTAAAGTATCTTAATTTTTTCTGTTGATTACATGTTGAAAGGACAATGTTTTGGATATATTGCATTAAATAAAATACTGAAAGTAATTTCACCTGTCTTTTTACTTTTTAATGTGGCTACTAGAAAACTGAAAACTACACACATGGCTCACGTTGTATTTCTATTGAACTGCACTGGAATGGAGAATGGGTAGTACTCCCTGAAGCTTCCTTCTAGGGGTAAGTGCCTTAGGGTGGTAAATATGGAAAAGATTCTGCCAGTATTCAGTCTTCTGTCAAGCTAAGATCAGTTTTTTTTTTCCTTTTCTCCTCAGATAGTAGTGGTGTTTTGACAATTAGAATGTCCCCATTCAACAGACGTTAAGTACCTATGTGGATGCCTCATCACTAGATCAAAGCATTTAATTTTTTCAAATGCAAGCCTGTCATATATTAAGTGCATCCTTCCTCCCTCGCTCCTATCCATCCATCGAAAATCTGAGTCTTATTTTTAGGTCTTGCTCTTCCTGTCAGGGCTTTCGCCAAATTGCCAAAGCAATGGCATAACCAGCCTGGCCATTCTTGCATGGCATCAGTAAAAACTACCAAGTTCATTATGTGGGATAAAAGAAATAGCACTTATTAAATTGAGGCCTTTTAAGGCAAAATGACCACCATATTCTAATAAAAACCTATGGCTTGTTTTATTGCTCAAAACTTACACAAAGTGAGTGACTCCCTGTATGAATCATGAGTTTGGGCTCCTTTTGCTTTCCACAAAATACCAGGCCTAGTTTTGAGCTCATAGATACTTAATGTATACAAGGAATAATATAGGGTATAGATTCCACACTAATAAAGGTGTATTTCTCTATTTATGAGAGATCCCAGATATACACCATCATTTCATCCTTTCTAAACAAGTCATTTTTCCCATTACCCTTTAAATACTTTATAGTGTTTTATCTTTGATGATATTGGAATTATTTTTAAATTATACTTTGAGAGACTCCTTCACTGAGATGTTGGCAAACATTTCCAAATTTCTTTGTATGCCAAAAGAAATTTTTTTTACAAAAATGCTCTTCATTAACTACTCAAACAAGCATTGAATGCACCAATCTAAGCCATCTGGCACTAACCGGACAACAATATTCTTAACAAATGAAGGGCTAATTAGTGGTACATCATCACTAGACTCTGCTTTCAGTAACTTTTCTAATACAGGTGTGTCCTGTTTTAAGAAAGCCCAATAGACAGGTTTGTTTAAAGGCATTACAGAAAAATCTGGGCATTATAAATCAGATTTGAGAAGCAATGTTAGCTAGATAAAAAAAAAATGTCAAGGGGTCTAATCTGTAATTTTTTCCAAATCCAATATTTTAATTTTCAGGAGGAATATCTAGTCATTGAACTTGTGTAAGAAGATGGCCTGGGGCCTACTAAGAGTCAGGTTGAAGTTTTCACTGCATTTAAGACAACCAGAAAGATAAACACAACTTTTAGAGGAAACTTCAAGTTTTCTCTCATTCATATTTCAGTCAGTGGGTATCACATTTTCGAAAATTGTTACACCTTTGTTGTCCAATATGGTAGCTACTAGCCATATGTAAAGTATATTCACAATTATGATCAATTTCCATTAAACTTTCATTCTTCCCGACTCGTCCTCCAATAACAGCGTGGGGTTAGAGTCACAGTTTTTGGCTATTGAATGCACGGTGATCAAATCTGTAACCATAACCTCAGTAGTACTATTTTCCATGTTACTGATTCAGATTTTATTTACAAGACTGGGTACAAATAATTTCAAAGAGCATATTATTTAAGACAACATTTTATAAAGAAATACTCATGTATAAAAATATAATCAACAACATCAATGTGATTTAAAAGGCAATTGTTACCTTAGCACTCACTAGGAAATCAAACAATGGAATGCATTCTCTGATATATTTATTACAACTATACTGTGATACACTAATGTAATTGGAAGTGATAAATAAAGCAGAAATTTAATATACTGGTATTGGGGGCAAGGTGCCACTTATAAAATGGGTGTCACACTCAGTGAGATACTGTTTATCATTGTACTCACATTGAACATGATTTGACCCATAGTAATTGCACCTGAGACCACATATTAGGGTGCCTGATAAAGGGGTTTTATTATTTTTCAAAACTAATAACCTTTCATTTTAACCAAAAGTCCCAATAAGGAAAGTCAGATAAATTAAAATAGGGATTTTACACAATATTCCGATGAGCGGTAATTTGAAGCTCAAGGCCCTCTTAAGGAAATTCTTTTTCTAGTTTGTGAAAGCTGTAGGAGACCATTAACTTCATGAGGCCAGTTACAGGAAATATTGAACTCTAAAATGTCTTACACCCTATGGGGGCTTATGGACCTGACTCAATATAGCATGTGCAGGCCCAATTATAGGACAAGTTAGCTTTAAGTATCACACAAATTTATAAGCACAGGCACTACTGTATTCACCACTGGATAAAGCTTCTAAGTAGCCACTGAAATTAGGCAAATAGTATTGTAATCCAAGGTGAATGGTGAAGTTAAGGCTTCCACAACAAAAACAGTTGGAATATGGTACAGCCATGAATGTGGGGAGATCTCAGAATTTGAACAGGTAAAGAAAACCAGGATGGACTCAACTCAGGCAAGTGAAACTGCCAGATTGCCAAAAGAAGTTTTTCGAAGGAGACTTCCACAGAACTCATTTGCCCACCATGAGTAACTAAATCTCAACTGATATATTTTTATCCAAGCCACAGTTGAGAGCTTGATTAACTGAGAAGCAATGCAGTTAAATGACATATTCTTCACAGTCACAACTCCAATTTCTGTGTCTGCATAGAGAAGTACAGAGAGTTACACTGAAATTGTGTATGCTGAGGAATGCCCTAAATTAGCTCCCAGGAAAATTAGTAACCTTTATAAGTAATTTTCACCTTTTTTCCTCAAGAATAGATTTTAACTTTCATGTTTACATTGGTTGGTAACATTTCCTTTTTTACTTGGTTGTGTATTTTGAGGAAGCAAATCCATTGGCACTGGTGGAGGCTTAGAACATAAACCAACATTAAAAGTAATGGAAACACAGCTAAAAGTTTTACTTTACAAATTCACAACTAGAGATTCATGTCTTTACATGTTAAATTTTTAACCAAATCAGCAAAAATATGTGCCACAGATTTTTAATGTTTGTAATTTATAATTTACCACATAATATTTATAAATATATCCTTTATTTTCAAAATTATTCTTAAAACATCTTTCCAACATGTTTGAAATTTTCATGTGTTTTAAGGAAAAAATAGCCTATTTTAAAATTGCTACTAAACTTTAATGTGTGATTAAACCTTTAATGTGTAATTAGTGCCACCAAACTGAAAAAAGAAAAAAAAATCATTACTGTGTTGGGAATGTAGTCGTTACTACAAATAATAACAACACATGTCCTATACAGTGATCATATACATGCTCTTGTTTCACTTCTCAGTCATTGTCAGAACCATTTGGAGGTAAGAAAACTAATGCATCATTGAAACTATGCCCAAATGCCCTAAGACGGTATACCCCATACATCATCACATGCATCTGATTAGGAGTCAGTCCATTAAAAGTAACAGCCATATCTGAACAACATCCTTCTACTACCAGGTTGGGGTGATTTGTCATTGCCTCTTTAATAAAAAGCCCAACAGATTTGGTATTAAATACATCTTTTCCTTCAGAATCTTCTGCATTTTCTGCAAACACTCCGGCATATTTCAGGCAGACTGCTAGCTGCTTATCTTCAGATATCTTCCAAATCATCCCTCCCTGTTCAGGACACTTTTCAGGGACATCGAGAAGGCTATTAAGTCTTTTCATTGATTCTATACTTAAGACAATTCCTCCTTCCACACTCACATATTCAAGGTCTCCAGATTTTATAGTGTGGCCTAGATAGAAAGGTTGTGATGGATCCTTTTTTAACAAAAAATACTTTAAGTTTTCAATAATAGCAAACGTTGAGGGGCGTGCAAGGAAGAACCAGTTGTACTGGTCTCTATATTTATCAAAGGCGTATTTGTAAGCTTTTCTCATCATTAACCACATGTCATTTGTTTCCATGTTAACTGACTCAAACACTTTAACATTTTCAGAACTGAAGAACTCCACTTTGTCACAGTGTTTGGTCCAAGTCTCCTTCACTGCAGCCCAAAGACTCACATCTTTGGGTTTTACAAGGATGATACAATATACCCGAAAGCTCTTACTGAGCTCCATGCGTTCATCCTCTGAAATTTTCAAAATATCTTCTTTATTAGGAGCTTGTAGGTGATGATGCTCATGGTGGTACATTCTATTTCCATAACCAATCCTAATGTGTCCTAGCATAGTGATCAAGGCACAGAAAATGCTTCCCAGCATCACACCCTTCAAAAATGAACTGCTTTCAGAAAGCATTTTTCCTATAAAGAAGAAAAGAATCCTTAGGATACTTAATAAAGAAAAGATTAGTCTAGTGATTTGATTTGGTATTCTTTATAGACTTACATTTTGCTCTTAAATTAAAAAAGGTTTCCAAGTTTGAAATCAAGTTAGTTGCATACAGTACCAAGGAGTCTAAGAATCATTAGCTTCTAATTTATACTGTTCAGTATAAACTGGAACTTTGAAGCAATATCTCTATGCAGTATAATTTTCTGGGAGGCTATTTTTGTACTTCATTTACAGGAATTTAATCAACCTAGTAGTAAATTTAAGCATTAACCTGAGAAACCAATGTTACAAAGATTATCCATCCATCATTCTCCTTAAAGGAATTTCATTTCAAAGGCTTGCATTATATAAATACATCTGCATATGTTAATAGACTTTTAAATCAAAACCTTAAATTGAACACATAAAACCATCTACAATTGGTAAATCACCAATGGTATCTGTATTGGCATTTTTGTTTTCAACCTAGTGCTTTATTTAACTGATAGCCGCTGTCCTTGGGTGTTTTGAGTACATCTAAAGCAAGTTTCTTGAAATTGACACCTTTTGTTCTTAAGACTAAATAGTTTCCAACACAGTATCCAAACTAACTGATGTAATAAAAGCCCATAATGAAAATAGTTAAATTATTTGGTTGAGAACTGAGTAAATATAGGCATATCTGGGGACCATTAATGAACATTTTTATTTCCTTCTAAGGCATTTTCTTATTCTTTGGAGAAGTAAAAGGGGGAAACTCCACTTTTATTTCAATTAGAAATTAAAAGAAAAGCTAACATTAAATACAACTGTTGAGATTTTCCCAATCTCTCCTGTATCTCCACAAGGAATGGCTACTGAGATTTCTCTTTTGTCTCTTAAAGTTGAAAGGGGTCTTAGAGATACCTAATGTCATTTCTCTCATTTTACAGATGGGGGAACAGAGGGTACCGAGAGTTTAGGTAACTGACCCAAAGTCACACAGTTACTCAGTGGTAGAATTGAACTAGAAATCAGATCTTCTGATATCAGTTTAATACTTTTTCTATTACAGAAATGCCTCTACCTGCATTATTGAGAATTTAATTAATAAGTTACTGAATAACCTTGTTTTACTACAAATGAAAAAAAGTGGTATTTGTTACCCATAATTTACATTTCACACACATCACCATACTGCTACAAGGAAACCATCCTTTGATTTTCTTCCAGAGGAAATAGACTTTGGCGTCTACTAGAGGGACAAGGTGTGGAATAGCTTGGCAGATGTAATTCCTGAATGAGGATAGGGACTGGGGAAAGAGGCAGGATGGTTTTCTGGTGTCACTCACAGAACATAGTCAATAAACACAGCTCTAAGAAGGAAAAGAGAACTGACAGGAAACAATATTAGAATAGTCAGGTGCACTCTAAAATTAATTTTAGATAGGATTTTGGTATTTCATATTATGCAATTTTCATTATTTCTGGCCAATATATAACACACCTGTCTCTTAGCTTGATAATGCATGTCAGAATTCTTCCTGATATGGATACGACTCATGGATCACTTGCACCAATTATTCTAAGGAGCAGATCTTTTTTTCCATTAGGGTAGGCAAACAAAATGTAACACTGGAGATGCACTCGATATGAGATTTGGTGTAGAGGAGGAAACATAAAACTGCCAGGGGCACAAATGAAGCAGAAACTACCAGAGTGGTTTTTCAGATGTACCTTTTTAGAAGGTGAAGATGATTGGGGTGGAGTATGAAAAAGGGAGGAGGAAGAAATGGAGAACAGGAGAGGGTGGACATGGTTATCTCAAGACCCCACTGAGGGGCCAAGGAGGAAGGTGGCTCTGAATCTCCCTCCCCTCTCTACTCCTCCCGCTGCACCTGCCCGGGTTCCTCACGTAGAGCATGCTGGGAATGGGTTAGGGCCCAAGTCATCCCCCGAAGAGGGGCGAGGTAGGGCTGCTCTGGGGGCCGCTCCTGATGCAGGCCGATGCCCCCGGCACTCACCCGCGTCTAGAACGGATCAGGGGCAGGAAAGCGCAGCTGCTCACGGCTTTCCTTTCACGTTCGTTCACTCCTCGGTTACACTCCCGATCGGCTGCTCTAGATGCAAGAGAAGTCCTCTCGTTGGTTTCACTAAAGGTAGATAGAGTCAGGAAGTGGACGCCGCGGGCACGGGGCGGGACAAACGAGCCCTCAGCCAAGCGGAGCCACAAGCCCGCGCAGACGTCGGAAGGGCCGCGCACACCCTTTCTCTCCGCCCTCTGCCGAGGTCAGAGAAGCACGTCCTGCTGGCGTGACCCGCACGCTCGCTTATACCCAATGGGACGGCCAGAGAGGCGTGCGTGCGTAGGACCCGCTGACACCTCCCACCTTCTTGGTGTGGAAGCCGCGAGAGCAAGGAAGGCGCTTGCTTTCTGCAGCTCTTCCGTTAGCCCTTTCATTGGCTTCTCTAAAATATTCCTCCGTCATTGCACTCTCCAACTGACAAGAGGGTGTACTACCCAATGCTCCTGGGCCGGTACCAAAATGCAAGCCACTGAAATAGTCACCGAATTATGAGGGCAAGGATTCGCTATGGTTATTGGAATGGCATCTGAAACCCCACTGTCTGGAATTCTGTCTTCACTGTGTCCTTTGGTATGCTGGGAAAGTTACTTTACCTCGCTATGACTCAGTTCCCTTCTTTGTGAAATACAGAAATTATCACGGTAGTGCTATCATAGGAGATAAAATGAGATAATGCTTATGACTCCATCAGTGAAAGACCAAGCATAAAGTAAGCATTCATTAAATGTTGGCTATTATTTTCACTCCTGTATCACTAGCGTTTAGCCTAGTACTAGCGTCTAGTAGACAATACATGTTTGTGTAATTAATGAATGCTAGAACTACCCATGAGGAACCAGGACTAGAAAGCATAAGACATTTTCTAAAAGTCACAGAGAAATAAATGGCAGAGGTGAGACAAGAATCCAGGTCTAATAACAAGCACAGAGCTCTCTTTCTGCTAAACATGTCATATGTCTTTAAATTCATTTTTTGTGTAGACGGGTTTTTGCTAAAAAAGCACAAATTCTTACAAATATTTAAAATGTAGTTACTAGGTTCCATCCAAATAACATCGAATGGTGACTTACTCAGGCCTGAGTTCCTAAAGACACACGTATTTGACTACTGGAAATGATCCAGTTGCAGTAGAAGGTTTCAAGAAGCACTGTACCAACGAACAAGTAAATTTTAGGCAATTAACATCCTGACAGCAGTACCCTAAGTTCTGGAGATAGAGTGGTGAGCAAAATTAGCCCCCTTCATGGAGCTTTCAGTCTAGCAGGGAAGAAAGACATTAAACAATTCATTACAGATAGTCATAATGGTGTTATGTTCTCTAAAGGAATACAAAAATGAATCTTAGAACTGAAAGGAACTTAAGACTGTGAGTATTTTCACTATATTGTGTTAATATATATATATATATATATATAGTCTTTTCACATAACGTATATAAATATATGTGTATGCATGTACATATGCACATATAGTTAAGTGAAACAAGTTGCAGAATAATGTGTATGGTATGATTATACTTTGATGAAAACAAGCACAATTTTATATATGTATATCCATATGTTTGATCTGTTTGTAGGAGCAAGGAGAGTTGTGGAAGATTCCTCAGCAGACTGTTATTATTGATTACATCAGGAGGTCGAGTTGTGGGGTGGTTAGCTTTGTCTTTATACATCCTCATATTTCACAGGTTATAACAAGCATTTGTTACTTTTGAAGAACAAATAAAGGGATCTTTAAAATTAGAGGGACAAAATGGATGAGGAAAAAATACCAATAGAAATTCCTTTTAAAGGTTGCAGAGAACCAGTCTCTCCTTGCAAAAAGGGACCAAGGAAGGACACATAGAAATGGCACTCAGAATTCAGAGACAGTGATAAGTAGGCAATTTAAAATGCATCTTATATATTTCGTACAGGGAGGTATACCAAAGTATTGCTACAAGATGTTCTGAAACAGAATAAACCCCAGGATTTTCAACACCAGAAGCACTGTTAAGAGATTCTCTAAAAACCCTATTCTCTACTTAAAAAAGAGCTTAAATATACTTAGCATTTGAAGTGATGTTAGTGAGATGATTGACTTGTAGATAGGTGATTGCACTTTTAAAACACCATTCCACATTATAGCTTTAATTAAAAAATGCATGCAATTAGTCTCTTAAAATTAAGAATATTCATACTCGTTGGACTAGCAAACTCGCTTCTTGTACTCTCTCCCCCAGAAATTAAAGCACCAGAATGTAAGGCTAAATGTATGAGGACAAATGTATTGTTTATAATAGCAAAAGTGGGGAACATCCACCAATAAGAGAATGGTTGAATTAATTATAGTACATCCATGTAGTGGAATAATTTCAGTAACCTGCACTAAACACTTCCTTATACACACTAACCTGCACCTTGCGGTGGAGGGTTGCTTTTGATTTTGGTTGCCTTCATGTACCCAGTAGTTAAGGCAAGATTGCATTCAAAATTGACAACACTGCAGTTTTGGTAAAGCCCTCATGCCAAGTGCACGCATTATTCAGCATGAGAAGTCATTAATTTCTAGTAATTGGCAATTAATTTGCATATGAGCAGTCAGATTTTCGAAATCACTGCAAATGCCTTTGGGAAATAAGTATAGCTTTCTATAGTTCACTGGAATGATAAATGTTGAAGAAAATCAAAGGTGAATTGTTTTCTGCATAACGTCTTTTTGGAGAGTCAAAAATGCCCTTCGTGTTTACCAAAATTAAGTACCTGTAATAAATATATTTACCTTTTTTGCCCAGAGTTTCACAACTGTTCATCTTCAATAAATACATTTCCTTGTTTGAGCAAATTCATTATTGTTTCCATTTCAGTGCAGTTTGGTCCCTAAATGAAACTCATTTGTGTGTTCAGACATATTCATGCTTGCATTCTTGTTTCACAATTGTTTTTTCCATTTGATGGCTGTCTGAGAACTTTCCTTTTTAAAAAATTAACAGACCCATTTACCTGCCAACAAATATATAATAAGTGTTTACTGTAGGTCAGGCACTGTGTTAGGATATTGTTTCTTTTAAAAACATTTTTTATTATGAGGAATTTCAAACATATACAGAAATAGAGAAGTATAATGAAACCACATGTACTTTTTAGAAAGCTTTAACATCAGTTCAAAGCCAATCTTGTTACATCTCTACTGCTTCCAGATTATTGTGAAGCACCTCCAGGACATCATGTCATTTCATTCATAAAAATTTCAAAATAGATCTATAAGAGATAAGGGCTTCTTAAAAACCCCCACAATACCATTAGACAACTAGAAAAATGAATAATTCCTTAATATAATAAAATATCCTGTCAGGGTTCAAATTACCAATAATATGAATATCATGATTTTTTAATAATTCGAATCAAAATAATAGTCTACATGTTGTGATTGGTTTTTGTGTCTCTTAAATATCTTTTTAGTCTATAGATTTCTTCTCTGTGTGTCTCTCTTTCTCCCTGCCTTGATATTTCTTTGTTGAAGAAATCTGGTTATTTGTCTTGTACATTTACCCACAGTCTGGTGCAGATAGCTTCATCCTGTTTCCTTTAATATGTTTCTCTGTCCTTATGTTCTTTATAAATGGATAGTTAGATCAAAAGTAAGGTTGCCAGATTTAGCAAATAAAATTACAGGGTGTCCAGCACAAATAGAATTTCAAATAAACAATGAATACTCTTTAGTATAAGTATATCCTGAATATAATGCATGAGACATGCTTACACTAAAATATGTGTGTGTGTGTGTGTGTGTGTATAGAGGTAACCTAGAACTACACACACACACACACACACACACACACACACACACACACACACACACACACATATATATGAAAAGCAATTTTAATTGAATCTAAAATTCAATTTTAATTAGTAATTGGTGATTCATTTAACTGGGCATCCCAAGTTTTATCTGGTAACCCTAATATAAGAGCTCTGTTTGATTCAGTTTCAATTTTTTTGGTGGGGAGCAGAGTCAAAATTACTTCAAAGATGGTGACACGTGCTTCCTTCAGGAGTCACATGTCTGGTTTTCTCTCTTTGTGATGATAGTTGCCATTGATGCTTAATGCCTCAATCCATAACTCATCAAGGTTGAAATATAATGATATAATTTTCCAAGGCATATTTCTAAGAGGAAGTTTGGGGTAGTGATTAAGAGGTCAGGCTCTGACATAGGAAAGATTTGGTTTGACCTCTAGCTTAGCAGCTTACTAGCTGTGTGATCAGGGACAAGATAGTTTACTTCTCGCAGCCTTAACTTCCTCATCTGTAAAACAAGGCTAATAATAGTACCTGTTTCTTAAGATAATGGATATATGTGGCTTCAATACCCTATTCTCTTTCTTTATGTTTGGAAATGTGTGTAATAAAAATGTTAAAAGCTTAAATAGGTCAAAAACCAAGTTGATTAACCTTGCCTGTATCCATCTCCTGACAATCATTTTTTCTGTTAATGTCCACTTACCTTCCCAGTCACTTATTACAGAAACCCAAAGCTCTTTTGGGTTCCTTTTTCTCCCTGACTTCTGTACCCAATCAGTTGCTAAGTCAGACTGAGATTCCCTTCACAGTGAATCCTGCTTTCTTGTCCATTCAAATTGTCACCCTTCTATTAAGTCCCTCATTACTACTTGCCTGAACTAGTGTAATGGCATTCATAAATTTCTCCCCATTTATAGTTTCTCCTCACTTGGTGTATGTAAAGCATAGTGCTTGGAACTTAGTCCCTTCTCCCTTTCTCCTGACTCATGAATTCATCTTCCTTACTGCTTAACCCTCTGATGACATCTTCCCCTGTCCCTGAGAGAGACTGTTCCTCACTCCATTTTAAATTGCTTTCCTTCCTACCTCTACTGGATTCTGCAACTTCATTGCTGCCTCCACTCCACCCTAACTGCCGAGCTTTGTGGAGGAAGCATGTATGACTGAATAAAGACTGATTTCTCAGTTTCAAAGTTAGATATGAGCAGGATTTTTTTTTCTAGCTATAGATGAGGGGAGCCTTTACATACAGACAAAACAGGCATACTAAATGTGAGTAAAAGAGAAGCAAGTTTTAGAGCTGCCTCTTGTCTCTCCAACTCAGTGGGAAAGAAAAAGGAGGATCTCTAGTCCAGGGGGATCAGCTTTTAGATCCAGGCAGGAGAGAGTAAATGCTGATGGCAAAGAA